AACTTTTAATAAGTGAAATACATTAGGTATGATTGTATGAATATTAAAATTGAACTTTGAAGATTAGATATGTAAATACATAGGAATTGTATGGTTTGTATGTAAACAATCACCTTTTTCGTGGTTAAAGTAATTAAGATTTTTACCGAATGATTTTCAAGATTTTTAATTTTCATGCTATAATGCAAGTAGTTCCAAATCATATTTTTAAAAAGTTGAAACCTGCGAGCAAAGAGAAAAAGCTTTTGCTTCCAGGTAGCCAACCACCCTTATAGTTTTTCGAGTAATTTAGTGCAGTGAAACAGTAGTAGCACCCTTATAGTTTTTCGAGTAATTTAGTGCAGTGAGAAGCCTTCAGGAATGAACAGTAACATGCAAGTGAAACAGTAGTGGACAGAAAACAAGAGTAGTATAACATGCTATACATGAAAGACAGTAGCAGGTAGAAACAAGACAAGTGTAATATGCTTGAAACAATTGTGAAGAATGAATGACGATACCAAGATAATCCTAATGCACCTTAGCATGCTTGAAACAATAAGTATCACACGGTCTTTGTTGTTCAGATTGATCCACCGATTTAGAGAAGCATGTGACGAATTTAAAAGGGTTGGCGTGTCAATTAGTGGCCTCATAAAAAATGGCTAAAACAATCATAAGCTTGTTTATAGAAGAACAACCCGCATTATCGAAAATAGAAGATCACCAGCATGAATAAAAAGAGAAGTATTATCTTCTGTAGAATCATAGATGTTAGTATGCTGAGAATCTAAGAGTCTAGATAAGACATCTATCACAATAGTGAAAAGGCAAGGGGAGAGAGGGCATCCTTATGGTAAGCTAGATGTGGAGTTAAGAAACCCCTTCATCTCATCGTTAATGATAACAGAAAATGGAATATGATCAGTGCATTCCTTGATCCAGGTAAGAAATAAAGTAGGAAAACCTAATGCATCATTCTCTCATATAAGAACTGGTGGTTGACCTTATCAAAAGCTTTTGTAAGATCGATCTTAGCACAAAATTTCTTAGGAGCATTAGTATAATTAAAACCAAATAATATCTCATTAGCTAAAATAATATTATGAACAATATCACGTCCAGAAATAAATGATGTTTGAAAATGATGAATGATATTAGGTAAAATCAGCTTAAGCAATTTGGATATAACTTTATAAATAGTATTACACAGTGATATGAGCCTATAATCAATAATGCAAGTTACATGATTGATTTTGGGGATGAGTGTGATGGCAGAATGTTCTATCCTTCTGGGGAGCCTGAAGGTTTCAAAAAAATATTTGATAGTTTCACTATAAGAAGGCCCAATCAAATGCCAAGTGTCTTTGAAAAATTTTGAAGCAAAGCCATTTGGGTTAGGTGCTTTATTAGAGGCATAAATAAAAAAAAACTTTTTTAATCTCCTCCTCACTAAAATCAGCCACAAGTGATGAACTTTCAGAAAGGTCAATAGTTCGAGAGGTGGGGAAGAGATTATTATAGCTTTGGCTTCTATGATGAGTGTTATATAAGCTCAGTGGAGAAGTGCTTACTGGCTTCATTAACAATAACTTGTTGAGATGAGATGCAAGAATTATTAATCAATAATTCTCAAATGAAATTTTTACTATTATGGATTTTGATCTTGTCGCAAGGAAATATAATATCATCCACCCCTTTTGGAAGCCAGACATATTTGGCCCTCTGCTTAGTCCACTCATACTCACAAGCAATGAGATTATTCAATTGAATTTGAATAGCATTGGCCTTGGAGAGCAGATCTTGATGTATGTAGGGGCTGATTTTGAAGTTGATTCCAAAAATCAGCTTATTGATTTTTCAAAACGAAAATAGAGTTAGAAATGTAGGTGGAGTTATAATTCCAATCAAGAAGAGCCTTTTTAACATTTTCAACTTGTTACATAAAGCAAAAAGAGGATCCCCAGACACATCATGATTCCAAGCATTGAAAATAACATTAAATAAAATCTGGACAGCAGCTCCAAAAATTCTTATACATAAACCTTCCTCTGATGCAAGTAGAATTCCCAAAAGAGAGGAGAACGAGGCAGTGATAAGAAGTTTAGGGATTTATAACTTTATAATGAGAGGTAGAGAAATGAGCATTCCATTCATTGTTGCAAAAGACCCAATCCACAAGACACCTAATAAGATTATCTAGTTGTTGGTTAAACAAGTTGGGGATAAGCTGGTATTAAGGAGATGAAGAAAGAGGCATGCATACTATTCCTTGGAGTACTTCTACCAAATCCAAAGAGTATGTTGATTTGAGTCTTCCCAACCTAGACGTCACTAATTTAATGAGCAAATCCGAAATCATATGGAGGCAATTTAATTCCAACTCCTTTCTTTCCAATTGGTGCCAAAACCATTATCCATTTGGTTTAGAGGAAGGAATAATATTTCCACCATTTGAAAAGCTATCTTATAGGTGGCCACACATATCATCCAATTTTTCAAAGGCATCAGCAATAATTACAAATATCACATACAAGGCATGATTTTAAGAAATCAGATAAACCAATCTCATAAATTTTAGCTGTGAAATCAATCCTCC